AGTTTTAATCCAGTGATGGAGGGTCAAAAATATTAAATATCTGGGAAGTGGTGCTCACAATTTACTTGATGCAGTTTACTTGATCTCAGATGTTTGTGGTAGTAATCCTTTGGCAGATGCAGATTATGTTGGTTTTGGCACAAACTAGTTCTTTATACGTGTAAAGATTTTAGGTTGACACAAGCATGGCTCAGTTATACAATAGTTACAAATTATTTGGTGTGATTCTGGTGTGAAGATGAATCCTTAAAAGGACCGGCAAAATGTCAAATGAGCTTTAATTTGTTCCTGGATCATAAACAATGAAAACTACTTTCACTAGGCTGTTGTCAATCTAAACATGGCTTATAAGAGTCTTGGTGGTCTTTCCAAGCTGCGCTGCACACATCCTCTAACCTGTTGGCAGTGAAGAACCTTAAGGAAAGAGTAGCTGGTTATTTCAGGTTTCTTAACCCTCAAAAGCTTATTTACATGTTTTATTGTTTATTTAGATTTTCTGTGTGGGCATACGCTTGTGTCTGTCAGCATTTATTCATAAAGAGCATATAGGATCCTTGAACTGACTTCTTAAAATCTGGCCTTCAGTGCCTACCCTTTCAAATGTTGTTGTGCCTCCATTCCCATGAATCCTAGGAAGCACAAGTATAAATATAATCTCTAATGAAAATACAGATCCCAAGTAGTTTAATTGTTATTGTAAGATCATTGGAGCCTACGTTTCTTGGTAGCGTTACTATATTAAGTTCTGGTAACTTTAACAAAGCTTTGTTTATTAGTTCAAGTTAAATCCAGTAAAATTGCTTTGTTTCCTTGCTATTCTAGATTCAGGGAAGAATGTTCAACTGTTTGTAACTGCAGAATATCATAAACAAAGTTGTCTGATTTGTTTTAAATCTGCAGAGTAATTGTACTTCTGTTCAGCTGTTGACAAGTGTGAGGTTTGTGTGGTTTTCAATTTTTGTGCAAGTATAGAAGTACATATGGGTGATACTGGGGAATAAGATGTGTTTGCAGTGGAAAACTACTTGCAAGATTTTTCCCTGTGTGGAAGGACTACTGCTGCTCTGTGATAATGAGAAAGTTGTAGCTATTTTAAGACTATGATGGAGTATGTTTTTGAATTGTTCATGGCAATATTACTTTGGGAGGTTGCCAGAAGCTGCTTCTACAATTTGACAGGAAAAGAAATACTATTATAAAAGGAAATATTTCATGTTCTATTTCATGTACTCATTTTAAATGTTTTTGAAAACTTGTTTGCTCTTTTGGTATAGAGAAGTCCACTTCTTTAGGGGTGTGTCCTTGTTTGATAGGTACTTTTAAATGAGAACTTAATCTTGTTTGTTGCCTGAAGATCATAGAAGCATAGAAGGGACTTCAGGAGGTCTCTAGTTCAACCCTTTGCTCAAAGCAGGATCAGACCCAGTTTCTCAAAGCTTTATTCAGTTGGGTCTTAAAAACCTCTGAGGATGGAGACTGCAACCTCCCTGGCCCTGTTTTCACTGCCTGACTGCCCTTATGGTGCAAAAGTATGGTATTTTTTTCCTTAAATCAAGCTGGAATCTAATTTGTTTCGGTTTCTGTTGTGTCTTGTCCTTTCATCACTGACCACTTTGAGGACCCTGGCTCTGTCTTCTCAGTAGCCACCTCAAAGGTAGTGGTGGGCAGCTGTGAGGTCCCACTGAAGCTGTCTCTTCAGGCTGAACGATTCCCAGCTCCCTCAGCCTCTCTTTATGCGGCAGGCACTCCAGGTCCTGGTTCTTTCAGTCACCCTCTGCTGAACTTGCTGCAGTTTATCAATGCCTGTGTTGTACTGGGGTCCAAAAGTGGACACTGTTCTAAGTACTGTCTAATGGGTGTTCTATAATGTAAAGTTTAATTACTTGACCATAGTTTACTTACAGAAATCAGGGAAAGGTGGGTGGTTATAAGTGTGCTTATTAGTGTTTGGGTTTTTAAAGTGTGATTGGATTTCAAAGCAAAATTTAGATAGCATTAGAAGAATTCTTCCACTTACATACTCATGAAAAACTTGCATTAATTTTAGTGAAAATGTTTGATGGATTTAAAAAAAAAAAAAATCTGACAGGTAACACCTTACCTTCAGTACATATTTATACAACTTAATTATCTCTGAATAAGTCTAATTTGCATCATTAAAGTGTTGGAAATGAAACAGAGTAGTTGGTTGTAATTCTATAGTGAAATATTCTATAGAAATTGAAGTCAGTGAGTGAATTCATTCTCACTGTAAAGTATGTTTAAAGAAATCAGTCTCATGGAGAGTTGGGGGAATTTTACACGAAGTAAACTTACATGCACAGCAACACGCACACAAAGGTCTGCTGCAAGAGCTGCGCAGGTATCTTGTGTGTTTGAAGTGGCCTAGTGGGGTGGCAGCGTGGAGGGGAGGAGAGCTCTGTCCCGCTGTAGTGTCAGGTTCCACAAAGAGAAATTTTTCTGAGAATCTGAAAGGATCTCTGCTTATTCCTTTTAATTTACACTGAGGTTTGGAAAAGTTGTTGTCATTGTTCTGGAGTCAGATGATTATTTCAGAATCGTAACTCACCTCATGTAATGCTACAGTTCAGCCAAAACTTAGTGAATGTGCAGTAAGGGGGAAATAATACAGAAAGCAAAGGAGGAAACAGAAGGCTTTTAAAACACTCCATACTGTTCCCTGCGTGAGCAGCAGAAGTACGCTACGACTGGAGGTAGTATTTGTTCTTATGAGCTTAGGCGGTGGGTTGGCACCGAGGTGAGCGTCCAGGATCCTGGGTGGGCTCCTGTGACCTCTGCTGAAGCTCGTCTTTCTGTGGCTTCGCTGGTGGAGTAGCTGTGGTTGCAAGATCAACAGCTAGCTTGGGTGTGCCTGTACCTGCTGCAGTCAAAATTTCCATTTTGCAGTGCAGATCTATTCAGGGTTGCCACATCTTTTAAAAGTCACTTTTCTAGGGCTTGTTTATGCTCACTTGTCTCTCATAGTTAGTGCAGCCTTAATTTAAATTTATGTGAGCTCTAGTTAAAACCACTTTCTATGCTGACATAGAAAAACTGGGGCTGCTGTGCCTTTGTCTCTTAGTCTTACCTGGTATTTCTCACTTAAAATGTGAACAAAAAACACTTCATATGGAAAACACTTTAAAACAAGCTTCTGAGTAAATATACCTTTTACCTTTATAAATATCTAGTTACTAGAAAACTTAAGCTTCTGTAAATTAAGGAAAGTCATCTGAACAAATACTGGATGTTCACAAGTTAATATAGCAATATAGAAAAAGTTAAATCTACCTTAAGTTTTATAGTATGTAAGATATTACAAGGAAGGAAAAACTGTGAAAATATCTTCTCTTAATCTTCTAAATTTTATAGTCAAAACATTAGTCTCCGGTGTTGCAATAGTTTTTCTGTGGAGGGTAGTTTGAAAGAACAATGATTTAATGTTGATTGCTAATAGCTTTTCATTTAAATTGTTGGCATTGCACTAAAATTAGTTCAGGACCCCTCTGTTTCAGTGTTTGGAGAAAGCTGAGACTGCTAGAGACCCAGAAAGGGAGTAATACCTCCGTGTGACAGGGTCACACAGGCTCTGTGGCATTCAAAAGCATTTTTCTTCATTTTTCAACTTAATGTGGGTTCCTTTCTGGTGTGGTGTTTTTTTTTTTTTTTTTTTGTGGAGGGGTGTGATTTTTATACTGATAAGCTGTATCACTAAATATTACAGTTTTAACCAGTGTCACGTTTCCTATGTTTTCTTTATGAGATATGGAAGACTTGGGCACTGTAAGGAGGTAACAAACCTGTAGAACTTCAGGTCGTGGTTTTCCACCGTCTTCCTGCACAGACACATTTCTGTATTGTTATAGTAACTTCAAAGCATTTTGGATCTTGCAGTTTAGTCTTCACTATTGCTTGTGTAGGACTGTTGCAGTGTCAGTGTGAGCCCACTGTTACGCAGGAGCATGGGCTGACTTCTCATGGTGCAGAGAGATCTATGCAAACTTTTTTCCGTGTTGAGAGGGGAGAGAAAATGCTTATTTAAGGCTACAATGTTTCATTTATGGAATAGAAACAAAGATTGTGTGGCCTGTAATCACCTCCCCCTTCCCCCCCCAAACAAAGAAAAACTCTTCAAGATTGCTGTACGATGTCAGATCTGCTTGATGAAAGGCGTGTGACTAGTGAAAGGGAAGTATAATTCGGTACGACATTACTGTTTGGAGTAACTTCAAGTATGAGCGTTTTCCCAGTGCTTGTTCTAGAGATCCCTTGTGCAATGTCAGGAAACGATTCAGAAGCTGAATCCTGTATCATGCGATTTTTGTCTTTAATCAATACCATAAAAAAAAAAAAATCCATCCTTTTCCTTTAAACATATCAAGGCTATTCAGACCAGAAGGCTGGACACTCCCTCTTCTGGTGTGCTAACTGAAGTTTCAGTTTAGGAAATGGGAGATTGTTTTTAAATGTAGAAGTATGTGGAACTCCTGCTTTTTCCTTCTCTCCTTTTTTTTTTTTTTAAGCTTGAAACACTTGAGTGTATTGACATGCTTGTGATTTCAAGAGTGGTGCAATAATTTTATAGTTTGTTCCTGTTTTCCTAAATAAAAAGTCTTAATACAAATGCTCCAGGTAGGTTGCATTTCATAATAGTGTCTCCTGTCGCTTAAAACAAGCACTCTAATGTCTGTTGACTGAACTAATAATAGTATTCAAACAACTGAATTCCAAAATACAGCTTGAGTCAGAATATTCCTTATAGTAAGAATCAATCCCAGAGCTTGTAATGAATTTCTTGTTAGAATTGCATGCTTTTAAATAGTGACCTTCAATTACAAGACATTGTGTAATTTTTTAAATTAATAGTAACTTGCAAAACATTCTTGGAAGCTCTTGATGTCTACCTGTGGACCTCCAAAGTCTAAAATCTCTCCTGTAAATAGTATGTAGTCCAGGAGGAAGTTTAAGTCTCCAATTTGTGCTTTCTCATCAGATACCCGGTATGGCCTCATCATCAACACCTAAATATAATTCAAACTCCTTGGAGAGTTCCTCAAGTAAAAGGGTGAGTGTAACTTTTTTCATGTTTTTTACGCCAGAGGTCCCAGAGATCATTATCTTCCATACTTGGGTAGAAAAATGAGAATGACTTTTTTCTGAATGTGTATACTTACTTTTATTGCTAAAATTCTAATGCAGTTAACTGAGTTGATTTAAATATCTTTCAGAGTGGATGGGCGAAATATGCTCTGTGTCACAAGTTATGAGAGCCTTCTTAAAATCAATTCTAATATACTTACTCTTATCCTTGCTTTCTACACTGAAATATTCTGTGGCATTCTTGAAAACTTTTGGCACTCTGATGCTGTAGACAGATTCTATACTGCAATTGATAAGTTATACCTAGCTATGTTTGGCTGGCTCAGTTTTAAAATGTTCATCTGTAGTGGGAAATACATTAAAGCAATTTAAATGGCATTCCCCTCTGCTTTTTGATGCTGCGTGGCTGAAGAAAATGTAACCTGTGTGCAAGAAAACAGAAACTAAGGTTTTATTTAGCTTTTGAAACATTTTTTCAAAAACAAAGATTACTTTCTATTAATCATTTTTAAAAACTGCTGAACATGGGAAGGTCACAAATGAGTAGATTGTGTGTAATAGTTGTGAGTACGTTGCTTAAGTGATTTCAGTTGATTTGTTCTTCCAAGCCCAGCATACTTGGAAAATTAAATGCACAAAACTTGCAGAGAACTTACAGTATAGAAATTTAATTCCGATTTAATGCAAATATAGTTAACTATTCATTTAGAAGGAGAAAGACTAAAACATGCTTATGTTTCCGATCTGTTCAACCTTTAATAGTTGCAGTTTGGGATAGTGGTGTGTGTTCCTGTGTTGTTCAGAATGTCAATTTCTGCTGTGGAAAAACCTGTTCTTTCCCATTCAGAAATTACCTTTAAGATTTTTTTTTTTTAATCTGAAACTTGAAGGAATTGTAAATAAAATATGATGTTGTACTTCTCTTTCTTTAGACTCTAAAAGATGGAACTAACTGGGAACAAAATGAAGAAATACCTCGTCTGCCAGGAGAGACTAGAGTTACAGGTATGAAGCTATATAGCTGCCTAATGCAGTGTATGTTTAGGAGTCTGGCATGTACATGGATCTTACTGGATTGTTTCATAATTTGGACTGGTTTGGGCTGAGGGCGGGGGTAAATCATGCTAAAATGTCATGAATTTTTTTAAGCAATTGCGATGGGGACTTTTTATCACTTCTCACAAGTAACTTTTTTTAAGTCTTCAAAATCTTGGTTTCCACACATGGCAGATCCTCCGATACAAAGAAATTGCAAGTCAAGATGTGTCATAATTATATCTACAGACTAAGTAGCACATGGCTAGTGATGAGAACCCCTCCAAGCTTTCCAAAGTCAAGAGAATTCTACATGCCACCCACTATGTATTGATATCTTGTACAGTAGTGGGGAACCTTAGCCCAAACTGTGACTACCCTAAGGACAATTTTATGCTTCCTTGACACAACATGGCATGCACGTAGCTACTATGCACTTGTTAGCCTTTACGTACAGTAATGTTGTAGCATAAGGAAGATTAATGTACTGTGTACAGTGGTTTCTTACTTGATGGAGGCTCTTCCTGGAATGGAGCCTTCCACTCACGGAAGTTTGTGCTGAGGTATCAGAATGCAACTGAAAGTGGTCTGTCTTGTATTTGTCAAGCTTCTCCTTCCCCCCTGTCTGAGGATTTGTTAGGTGGGTTTGTAAACAAGATTGGCTGAGGTAAAACCAAAGTGGTGATTCAGAGGAAGTAGTTATGTTTTTAATGAGGAAAGTTGTGGGGAAGGCATGAGGGAGAGGGTGTGGGACTAAGATAAATGCTTGATAGGATCCTTTTGAAAATTGTCTGTGCTTTGGGGCAGCATGCTGGAAGGAGGGTGCTTGTTATGGAAGGTAGATAAATAGATTGGGCTAAAGAAATGAGTGGACAGGGAGAAATAGGTGGTTCGTAGTGCTTGGCTTAAGTCCTTAATGGCACTGCTTCAGTTAAATCTTTCTTTTTTGAGTAGTATGTGTTAGTACTCATTTTGTTACTGTGCTTGCTGAAACACTGCTTATGGCCCTGCTGTATTTGATTGCCTCAAATTGAAATGTAATGTTTCTCTTCAGGATGGTGAGTTCCCTAAACACTTTACAACTTGAACTACGTACTTCGATGCAGAATTGGTTACAGAGCACTGAAAGATGTAATAGTATCAATAGAAGAATGTATTTGTTCTGGGATAATGAATAGACTGGTTCAATAATCACAGAGAGGACTTAAATCTACTCACTGTTCTATGTCCTGCCCTCTCCCACGTAGTGCCAAGAAAGAGAGGAGCACAAACGTAGCTAGGGAAGGCTACTGAAATCTGTTGATTTAATTTGCGCAAGTTTAGTATATGAAACTTTCACATTTTCTTAATAATTCAAGTGGACAAAATTCAGATTTATTACTTTTTAAATTCATTCATTTCTCAGAGTGGCTCTTAGAGTGCAGCTGTCTGTATTTTACTGCTACTTAACTGATGCTGTCCTTAGCTCTGATTTTTTCTTTTCGCAATCTTTAAGAAATGCTGCATTTCTTACAGACAAGGATGTTATTTATATGTGTCCATTTAATGGCCCCGTTAAAGGAAGAGTGTACATCACAAACTACAGGCTGTACCTAAGAAGTGTGGAAAATGTGAGTAATATGCCACAATTACTTCCGTGGGATGAGTTGGCTTTAAACCCCCTTCCCTTCATCCCCACTGCCTTTGATTTATTTTGTGGCCAGTTCATTTGTTTTAGTTTTGGCACACATAAGCTTGTGGAATTGCATGGGAGGCTTTTTACTTGAAATGGTCTGTAATGTTTGTAATAACCATATCTTAATTGTGTAATGACTGAATAGTAATTGCCTTTGTGCCACTGAGAAATCCGTATAAAAATGGAAGTTCTTTAAAGTTAAATGTGTTGTAAAAGTGTGATTTTTGCCTGGTAAAATTACAGTTTAATCATTTACACTGAACTGATACCTTTAATTTTGTCTGTTGGAGGTTTTTTGATAGCTGTTCTCTTTACACTTATTCTGTGATAGATCAAGGGCAGCAACTAATGATGTGCAATAGTTCTTAAAATGGCTATCAGTAAACAAAGATTTTTATTGCCCTTGCTGTTGGAAAAGAAAAGTGCTTTGATCAATAGAACCTCACGTGGGTGGGGGGAGTAGTAGTGTGTTTGATAAGCAGCAACATGAAAGAGAATAAAATGCGCCTGTTTTCTGTTTCGTAATATGTTTTTGTTTTTGTTTTTTTTTTTTTTAAATAAGGTTTTAGGACTATTGAACTGAGGTCTTTCTGATTGCAGCTAACTCTACTAGTAATCTCTTTTTCATTTTGTTCCACTTTATTCTGTATACCAATAAAGCAGTCTTAGCAAGCAGAGGCAATCAGAAGTATGTAGCAGAAGGCAGATTTTAGGGTGTTGCCACCTTTTTTTCCTGCATACTGTATTAGGCATGAAATATTTTTGTTGCCTGTTAAATTGGATGATGTTCAAGGCTGTAGAGTGACTGTACAGACTTGATAACATGTTGGGAGGGGAGACTCAATCAAATGCAGAAACACACTTTTGCTTCGTTTATGTATTTCATGTCTGCTTTCTATTCTAGAATGTGTAAGAACATTTTGCTTGAAGTCCTCTTTTCAGGTTAATCTTTTCCTTACTCAAACTTTCCTTGCAGGATCCAGTTGTGGTATTGAATGTTCCATTGGGTGTAATTTCAAGGATTGAAAAAATGGGAGGAGCTTCAAGCAGAGGAGAGAACTCTTATGGATTAGATATAACCTGTAAAGTAAGACTTTCCAATAATTCAATAGGGAATGAAATCTAGAGATTCCTTTTCTCACTGCTTACCTATTTATAGGAATGAAAAAACACATGTTCCTCACAGCTGAATTTAAAAAGAGCTTTTTGGAACTGGGCAGGGAAATACCTTTTGTATAAAGACCTATTTAACTGTCCTCTCTGCACGTGAGGAGAGGGATTGGTCTTCCTTTCTGAATCACTAACTGACAAGAGGTTTTGCACAGTAGTCTTGTTCTAGGGCATTATTCCTGCATTGCTTCATTATTTCATTTGTTCTAAAAGTAATTTTCTTATAATCCTAAAATCTTTGAAGAACACCTCAAACGGGGGGTTTGTAAGCTGTAAAGGCAGTGAAAAGCTTACGTAACAGCTATCTCTATTTCCGTAGTCTCACAAAAAAGTTATGTTGCCATGAAAAAATATGGTCATAGGGGAGTTCTCAGTGGATTATTCAGGATCCTTTATTTGACTCATTAATGGAGTATGTGTACACATTTGACTCTTAGTAGTTAATGCACAGATTGCTTATTTTAGACATTAGTGATGAGAAAATAGCTAGGGACAATGTCGTCTAGACAGATTATTGGCAAATTTTCAGTTTGAAAACATAGAGCAACTCCCATCATGCAAACATTCAATAGCCCATGAGACTTTTTAGTGAATCAGATACAGTCATTTCTAATGGCTCTATGCCAAAGACTGTGGTACTGCTTTATTTGTAGAATTCTTATGCTCTATTCTATTTTATGGGATAAGAAATAAAACTGAACACTGACAATGGTTTGAGGTGTGTTGCAAGCAGATTCTAAATCATGTTTAGTGTATAATATAGCATTTGTACCTCAGGTAAAAGTATCTTACTGCTTTGCTTCACTTAAAAGATAATGCCTTTGTTTTAGGATATGAGAAATTTACGGTTTGCATTAAAACAAGAAGGGCACAGTAGAAGAGATATATTTGAAGTCCTCACAAAATATGCTTTTCCCCAGTCACATAACTTGGTAAGTTACATAATTTATACTATTGAGTTGTCTTAATGCAGAGTTCTTGGCAATTAACTTTAACTGTTTGACCTACTAATGAACGTCATGGCTGCTTAAAAAGAATAGCCACAGAATCTGGTGTCAGCATAAACTAAAGAGAATTGATGTTTTTATTTTGTACATTTACAACACTTACATATATGTATCTGTAAAATTATGGATGCTATATGCTATACTTCAGGTAAACTACTGAGCATCTCTGGTCCATACAGATTTCATTGCTTAGAGACTGCAAGTTATCCTCCCTAATTAGGAAATATAGTAGTACATGCCTTACTTGATTTCTTGAAGATGTTAAACTATGGGGCAGTCTCCAAGGCAATGATAAATATGAATCACGGAGAGTTTTACTTCAGGAAAAGAAAACATGGTAAGACAACACTTGTTTTATTGATGAAATTGATGAAAAATGTAACAGGCAGGTAATACAGGTCAAAAAAAAAAATCTTATGGAAGGAATTGAGCATCAATGATGTTAACTAACCATTATCTTCCGTTTCTTTGCTGAAATCTGTGAACTGTGCTTGATGGATCATCTCTTTAGTAAATGCTTTATTTTGTCTTTTGTAAAATTCAGTTTACATTTTATTGGGGTGCTTTCATTTAGGATAATTGTGTAAGAACTCCCTTCACAAAATGTTAGAGGGTTCTGCTATGAATTTTTAAGAACTTTGTTCAGAGAATTGTTGAATCTATGAGGCTGCAGCAAGAATCTTATTTCCTTCTCCGAAGATACATGTCAATCAATGGGCTATACTCTATAAACATTTAGTTCTTTAAAAATTTTTTTTGCAAAAATTCTGCATTCTGTATGCAAGCAGTCTGTAGAATGAAAGCGAAAGGAAAAATAAATGCTTTGGTTAAAATATTTTGTAGCGTTGATGAATAGGTCTTAAGAAATGAAACCGAGATTTCTACATTTGGGTGGGTGTGAGGGGTTGTAGTCACAAAGAAAACTGTTGTAAAAGAAGTGAATATATCTCTGATGTTACTGCTGGCAATTTATGCATCTTGCAATAGAGAATGATTGAAAGCGTAACAGGATATACGGACTTCGAAAGGATGATGGAAAAGAGAAAGAAAGCTATATGTAGAAATACGAATTATAGAGAAGTTTAGGTCAAAAGGGGCTTCTGGAATCATCTGGTTCAGGCTACTGTTACAAGTAGGACCTTAGATTAGGTTATCCAGGGCACGGTCAAGCCTAGTCTTGAATATTTCCTGCAAGGTAGCTTCCATCATGTCTCTGGGCAATCTCATCCAATATTTAATCATTCTCATGGTGAAGAATTTTTTTTTTTCTCCTTACACTGAGGACCTGTGTGGATTTGCATGTAATGAATGTGGACAACCTAAGTTGTAACTGACTTAGAGTCCCTTGTGGGATTTTTTTATGGTGTCCAATCCAACTACAGGGTTTGAATAACATGGTGATGAGATGTAGACTTGTATTAGGTTTTGTCATCCAAAAAGACCTGGTGTTCCTGTCTAGCGATGGTAGTAATGTGTGGAGTAGTACACTTCCTGCTTTATTTGTTGCACCTGTTGAACCTAGAAAAGCTCATCATTACATGGCCTGGCCAATTTTGAATGTAACTTGCCAATAAACATTATGCTCAATAACAAAAGGCTTGGTCAAGGTAGAGGTAATTTTGCCTTCAGTTTCAGTAAAGCACAAAACTTGGGAAGATAGTGACAATATGGAGAATGGAATGGCCATACTTTATATCCCTTAGCTATGTCTGGAGCAGGGTATAACCATTAGAAATTATGATTACGTTGGAGTGAAATAAAGTAAGCCTATGTTCTATCATGAAGTTGCACCTGTGCTTATTTTCTAATGTCACAATGTGGATAAGCCCTTAACTTTAAAATGAGCTAAACAAGTGTGTGATATTTTTGGTGTGCTTTCACTGTATTTCAGTAAGCAGTTTAAATTGATTCTGCCACAGGTGGGCGTTTCTGCCTGCTTGTTCATTCCTTCCTTGGTTTTCCTTGCATGCGTTTGAGGCTGCATGATGAACCAGATGGGGAACTGAAAGGGACTAAAGCTAAACAAGAAGAGGGAAAAAAAAAAAAAAAAAGCTTTACCCTGAGTCATTTCCTCAATCTTGTAAGCCCAATGTGAGGATGGGGTTGGGGCATCTATGGGTGGATGTGAATGAAGAGGAATGATGGGACTGCCTCTTTCAGTGGCTGGTTTAGAACAAGGTTTCACTGTCTGAATATGACAGTATGTCTGGGCTGTGCGTGTCTGCCTTCTGCTTTGAATGTACACTAATACTGACCACGCAGCCAGCTCGATCAGGGACATCTTTTATAAAGAACGTGCTGTGGCTTCACATGACAGCTGGGTGAAGATGGCAGCCCTCTGCTACTGAGCTCTTGCTTTTCTCTGGTCTCCTTCTCTCTACCTTCCAGCCATGCGGTTGATTATTCCTCTTATACCAAACTGAGAGTTACATAATTGCCAATGTGAGTTGTATAAAAGCCGATGTGGCTCACTTATCCAGTACAAAATATTCTGTTTTCTGAGTTAGTCTTGTGCCACTTCTAATAATTTGAGGAGACTTGGTTTGAAATCAGTATGCACCAGAACCAGTGCAAAAGAAGGCATGTGAGTGGAACAAGGAGCAGGCAGGAAAGAAAAGAGAGGGACGTCCTATTTTTAGCAGTGTAAACTGGTAATTTTGCTCAGACCACCTTGTGGAACTGCATCCTTGATCTTCAGCTGGTTCTGCAGCACTGATGCTTGTGCAGCTCTGCAGTGGAAAGAAGGCGTCATCAGGACAATAAAGGGCTAAACCTTTACTGTCCTGATTTTTATCTGTATTTTTATATTTTAGTCAGATTTTTATGTGACTGATTTTTATCTGTAGTGGAACCATATCCTTAGAGCTGATCCTAAACAAGAACTTTTAGAGATGCCTTGCTTCCGTTTTCTTCGTGCTATACCATTCTCGGACAAATGGATGGTAAATACAGCCCAAAACATTATTTCTGAGTGGAGTGGACTTATTGTTTTCAAGATTTTTCTCCATCACCACCCCAACAGCAGTGTTTTGAGAGCCTATAATAAATCACAGGTTTGTTCGCAACTGCTCGTCAGTGTCTCAACATTGTCCTATGTGCTTACTTCCAGAAGCTGATTCTTGTCTCTTTCCAGTTTGAGCATAGGTTGGGTTCAGATCTCCTTAAATCAATAGCATAATGTAAAATCTGAGAGCTCTTCTGACTGACAGCTTAGTTGATATGGAACAATCAGCTGCTATCCATAATCCTCTGTTTCTGAAAGTGTTTTTAAAAAAGTTAGGAAAAAAAACCCAACCAAACCAAACCCCCCAAAATTAAATGTTTGTAATACCCCACAAAAGATGAGATATATTTAGTCTGTAGTTTAGTTTCTGCATAGCAGCTGCTTCACTTCCTGATCTTATCTTGAAACTACACGTCATCATTTTTATAAGATCATTCGCCACCATAATACCTGCATGATACGTATTTATTTCTAACCATGATAGCTCTGTGGGAATGCCAGTTTTGATGAGAGACACTGGTAGTCATGCTGTCTGACTTTGACCTCTCCCACTCCTGATGTAGCTAGTTATCCTGGTAGTTTAAAATGTCTGACAGTCAGATCATGCCAGTGTTGCTATTGGATCTACAAAGATGATTTTAGATGGCAGTGAGGGCTGGCATAGGTGCCTATCTGATGGAGCACTTGATTTTGCAAAAAACATCTTGACTTGAGGCTTCATTCTGAATGACTTATGTCAGTCTCAGCGCAATAATGGTGTAAGGTTACCATATTTGCAAATGATCAGAAGTTAATTATGTAAATACTACAGTGTCTGATCTTAGTTTTTAGATGAACAGGTAAGATGTAACTAGCTGAGTTGTAATAATGGCATATTAAAGGCAAGGATAATATCATCGTTATTTTTAAACACACTGAGAAACTGACAGCCTTTTCACTGAGTAAAAGCTTAGTGATTTATAATATATGAAAAGCATAAACCAGTAAGAATAGAAAAAAACAATTGGCTTTCTTTGCATGTGTGTAACTCCTTCTTGTTCTAGTTTTGCTGCTTTCTTCTTTTGTAATGCATAAAGATTGGTCAAATAGTTAATAAATTGCCTATGTTATATGCTCATGTACAAGTAGAACATATATTTATGTACTATGATTCCATGAATAAATATGTAACTATTTGTAAATAGACTGCTTGCCAAACTGTATTGTCAGATTGCAGCTGCTCTCTCCTTTATCTCGCAGAACTACATTGTATTGTGAGCAACCAGTGTATCGCATATTATTTTTGTGTGCAAAATGGTAATGATAAATTGAATGTTGAAGGCAAGTACTTAGTCTGTAGGAGGTCTGAAAAAAAGACTCTGTGTGTTGAAATTGTGGGTTAGCACCTGCAAGGAAGTAAACAGAATTATTTGCGCAGGGAAGCATAAAAAGTAGCTTACCAAAAATGTTACAAGATTTGAAAGCCTTTTTTAAAGCGAAACCGTAGCCTTCTGCTTCAAGCGAAGCTGTAGTCTTCTGCTTTTAGACTACGGATCTGCAATGAAATCCCTGCTTCTGTTCTGTGTTCTGTTTTTGCATTTGCAAAAATCTTAACTGATGCATTATAAGTCTTGTTTTTACCAACTACAGATATTGATAAGTCACAGGCCTTGCACCCCGTAAGTTTTCTGAGTGGTGATTTACTATACTTTTTTTTTTCTTACCTCTTTAATGCTTTCCTTGATTTCTGCTTTCTGTTTCCCATGGCAGCTGAAAAGAATTTGAAATTGATTTTCAATTAGTTGATAGACTACTAGGAATTGATGGGCTTCTGTCAGACATGTAGCACTGATCTCCATCAAACTTAGAACAGATACGGTCAGTACATTGGAAGTGATTGCAAACTATCCTGCTTTGAACCCAAGATGTGAGATAGAACCAGTAAACAGTATAACTTAAGGTAAATCTGTGCTTTATTCAAGTGGCTTTCAGCTAACTGGTCTCAGTGCTGAGAGGAGGGAGGCCAGCTCAGGCTCGCTGCCAGAAACACTGATTTGTTGAGCAGGTAGTCTACCTGAAACTTGTACTGTTGCTTGTACTTAGTATCCAACCAAACTAATCTAGAGTTGGCTCAGGTATACCTGTACAAACCACAGTTATGCTTTCTGATTATATGTTCATGATTTTAAAAAGCCTTTTCATGATCTAAAAAAAAAAAAAAAGCAAAACACACTTTTTTTTTGCCGCAATGTTGTTCTGAACCTGAATGTCTCTTGTGTGTAGGTTTTATTTTTTTAAATTTCCAACCATTTTTGTTGAATTTAGACACCCTAATGAAGCTGCAGTTGATTTAATTCCTGGGAAAACAGGCTGGGTGCAATAGGAGCTGCGGAGAAGTGTTTTTGGTGGAGAGGCAGGATTAACGACAAAAGAAGGGAATGGAATTTTGTGTGTGGAGGGAAGAAAGAAATGAGTGGAGGTTAGAGTGGAGGCTCAGAGTACCTAAAGTATTGTTTGAGGAGAAGGAGCGTTTAGCAGGGATGTACCATAGATGTGGAGGGAAGGAAAGATGTGCGAAGAAGGCATGGAGCGGAACTGGCCAACTTTTTATTATACTCTGGTATTTGAAAGGCTTGCCTGCGTGCATAATGATGCACTGAGAGAGATTGACAGGGCTTTTCTGCTTTGTGGAGTCATGTGATTCCTATAGCTGGTCATGTAGTTTGCTTCTCTGACCTTCCTCTGCCCTCCACACTCTGAAGGGTATAAATACACACCCAGCTGGTCCATCCTAAATGCCTGTGGGCAGTGAAGTGACTTCCCTGTTTTCATCCTGACACGAGAGATGTGTGTATGTGAAGGGCACTAATATGAAGGAACCTGTATCCACGAAAAGCTAAGATAGCACCTCTCAAATCTTACGTTAAGTGATATGAGAACCTGTGCAGAATATGTTGTAGATGGCATAATTTCTTCTTCCCATAATTTCTTTCTGTCCCATTTGTCTGCTGTACTGTAGAATCGCATTCAGATTATGTGCACTGTGATGTGAAAGCTTCAGCAATGTTAAGTTAATCAAGACATATAGATACGAACATAGTGCATTTAATCTGTAAGCTGGGGTTATTTAGGACAAAAGTGGAAATATGTGGGTTGTTAGTGCAGACGTGAAGCTTACCTGAACTATAACAAACCCTTCTGGGATCTAAATATGTATTTATCACATTGATTTGTTCACTATAATGGGGTTTGTCAATTTGGTGCATCAGAATAATAAAAGATGCAATTCAACAAAAAATGTTATTCAATAGAAGCTGCTTCATGTAGCTCATTATGACATTTTGTTTCTAATAAATAAAAGTAATGTACAAATGTGTGCTAAATATGGCTTGTACTGACACCAGTAAGAAAATACAATTGTATCCAAGCACGTATCTTATGTTTGCTTAAGTATATGATTCTTAGTATTAAAATGGTTATAAAAAAAATGTGTGTTGCTTGTTACACTGAAGTTAAACTGCAGTTTGAAATTAAATAGTACTATATGAAATTAGTATAAACATATGTAGAGTTTTAAATGCACGTTCTCCTATTCTGACTTCTCTGCTGTGTCATGTTGGAATACATAGAGGGATACAAATTTTACATTCATCTAATGAGCTGCTTAAGTGGACATGAATGTACAAAAATCTTAGGTTGAGAAATTACTTTAAACTATATATTGTTGCATGGAACCATGCTATAATTGTCAGAACGGACAAGGAAGCATTTTCACTTTGAAACTGCTTTATATGTTGCTTTTTATGTTTTGTTGTGAGAGATGGGCCTAAGTAGGGTGGGGATGTTGCTGTATTTCAGACTCTAACATTTAGCCCGGACTTAAGTTCAGGCCGTCTTCACAGAATATTTCAAGACTTGAAATACCAAGTCTTAAGTGAAAGGCTGTTGGGGGTGGTGGAGGCGAGTTTCAGATCTTTAAACTCCTTTGTAGAATGAGTAAGACTTTCAGTAGTAACCAGGTTAACTGTACAGTCTGTACACAATGTGCACATATAAATGTGTGTACATAAATTTTTGTTATAGTTTAGTCAACTCTCTCAGCAGAAAAGTAATTTTTAGTCTTCAAGTTTTTAGATACTGTTCATTTCTAAATACTGTTCTTGTTGGAGTATACTTCAAGAGTTTTTTCTGAATTGCTCATGTAAAATCTAAGTCCAAACTTTGCTCCATACACCTTTGCATTCATTGTAGTGTTCTGTTATTTGTTAGACTTCAGATTTTTGCTGGTTGATCCATGCTACTAATGATTTTTTTCTTGAGCAATATAGGAAGAATTTGCACTACCTGGAATGTCAACAGAACTGATGAAGCTTAATTGTCAACTTTAATAGTTGTGGATTGTGTGACTGAAAGCTTTTGTAGCAGATGTGGTAAAGCTGCTGTAGCTAAGCGTTTTAAATGAAACATGCTTACATAGGTGGGCATTGTTCTTTCAGAAAGGATTCTGTCCATCCCCTCCAAATAAATAGCAAATTTAACCCTAGTTTTTAAAACGTGAAAACAAAATACGCTTTTCTATCTGGTTTCTTGTGGATTATTTTGTGGGTGACATGAGCAGCATAGCTGCCATTTGTTTATTTCTAGTTTGAAGCAGCACCTTCTTTATTTTTATCAGTAAAATCTTCTGTGTAACAGCTGTCACAGTGCACTGTAATAAACTCATGTGTTTTACTTATCAGGGCTTAAGTTGCATAGTTTTTAAGTTCTCACCAGGAAACTTCCAGAAAGTAGCAACTTAAATAAATAACATATTCTTGCCTTTGAGACATCCTTTAAGTGATGTGTTAGGATTCCAGTGTTTCTATTTCCTACTGTTATAAGATTCTCCTTTGTGTCTGGTTCCTTGGTGAATTCTTAGCATAGTTGCTCTTCGGGATATAGCAAATGCCTTTGGGGAGAAGGGGATGGTTCTTGTGTGTAGCCATTTATTAATAGTTCAGCAAATCCGTTGCATCTACTGCTTTAGGTAGTGATATTCCTGTTTTGCTGTATTCCTAGTTTGCAATTAAAACAAACAACCTTTTTCAGTTTTTCTGCTTAAGTTCTGATACTTGCATCTGCTTCTAATGGAATGGTTTTTTTCCTGATACAGTTGATGTCCACCTCTTTCCTTTTCCTTTCTTCATCTCTCCCTCCATCCCACTTGATAGCAGTTTACTTAGTCAAAAGAATCCATAATGTTTACTTACACTGAAGGCCTACCCCTTTAAAAATGGTGAAGACATTCAGAAAACACAGCTTGCGAATGCATTGTTTACTTCTGCAAACTTGCCAATGAATGTACTTGCTCTAAAATACTGATTTAATTTAAAATTCCAGTTTCTAAAACTAGTGGGATAAAGTATCTTGTGTGAGCGGTAACATCCTTTTAAAATACTTGTTGATTTGAAATACACGAGGAAAAACCCCCTCCTTTTGGAGGGACTCAGTTTTGTGTTTTGATTAGAGCTGTTTACTGTTGAAACCATTGTAACCTATTAGGCTAAACAGAATTGCCTTGAGCCATTTGGGTCTGCCTTCATAAGCTCTAAAGAAACCTCCACCTGGGCCTATGGTGCACTTACGAAGCATTGCCTTACCTCTGTAGACATAATCATGGCACCTTAGAACCATGATTTTTTTTCTTGCTTGCCAGGTTTTCTGCATTTCTGCTTAGTTCAGGACTACGCCTGTAAATGATGTAGATTTGGGATGTTCAGTTTAGCATTCAATTTATTCTTTTAATGTCTTTGAATAGCTAGGAGACTTTCAGCTTTTTTGTTACAAATGAGCGATGATGGGCTCTTGAATGCTTTCTGCTCTGGCTGCTGTTGCTCAGTTAGCTCAGGACAACACATTCTCTTCTGTGTTTTCTTTTTTTTTTTTTTTTTTTTTTGAAACAACTTAGTTTCATGCTCCAGTTGGCATCTGAAGAATTCATAAGCCACCAAAATCAATTTTCTCAATGAAGGAGATTTTTAAAATAAACATTACTTTTGCTTTCATCATAAACTGTAAAAACAAACTAAGGAAAAAAGGGTTTAGTTAGGTAATACAGCCAACTTGGAATTGGTTGAAAGGAGAAGGAAGCTAAAAGGTATGAGGAAGTTGTCAGAATCCTGGGTGAGGATGCTGTGTTGTATAAACGAGTCTTGAGAGTGAGCAACAAAGCAAGAGAAAAGTAGATAGTGTAACCTGCTAACAACGTATTTTGTGTCCTTTTTAATGCCAACTTTTTAATTTCCATGGAGTTCTATAGTAAACTGGATTTCTGTTAGTAATGATCAATTGGGGAGGGGATGCAGAAAGAAGGCTGCTTCCTAATGGCAATAAGTAGCAATTAAAACCTTTTTACACTTTCAATTTAGTGTCTGATATTTTATGCAGTAATTGCAACTGTACCTATTGGAGAAATTTTGGTGAGAAGATGGTAGTTTATTTGGTGAGGATGTGAAATACGGGAAATAAACTGATACAAATTATTTTAAAACATTTCAACCTCCTGACAGTAAAAAAGGCCAACAGTTTCAGCTTTGTAATTTTTATTTTTTTGTCACTTCTTGTTTTAACTATTGTCACATTTTCTTTATTTCATTAGCAGGTCTGTATTGTTTGTTACTTCTTGCTCTTTGCTTTACAGTCTTATAAATATCAGATTTATATGGAGATAATGGCATGGAAAAGTTAGTCCTATTTTGTGGTGGGCATTAGGGTATAACTGATGAGCCCTCCTATTTGCCACTTCCAGTCAGAGTTTGGTGTAATAAGCTTCTTTTATATCCTACAGCTTTTTTTTGCATTTGCAAATGAAGAAAAGTTTTCTGAAAATGGATGGATGGTGTACAATCCAATGTCTGAATACAGGAGACAAGTGAGTTACTACAGTTGCAGTTGCTTGGTGCTTTCATAGCTGACAACTAGAGGAATTATTGTTTGTACATTTCTCTTATCAGCTCTTTTGTGGGGGGAGCTGTGAATGGGAGAAGATGGAAATACAACTTGGAAAAAAGTGAAGAAAAGAAATAAAACACTGGAACCTTTAAAAAAGTTAGGGTGTCACGGGAAGGTGACATTCTCTTTGAAGGAAGTTACTGATACCTCTTACAATGTGCCACTGTTAAGTGAGCAGGGGGCGGGGAGGACGTGCCAAATACGTAACTACAGTGTCCTAAATATAGATTTGATTTGGTCTTTGATTTGGTTTACTTCTTCCTGAAGTGAAGGAAGAAAAAAGCAGCTTATTTTAGAAACAGTGGTGCTTTACGGAAGTTATTTTTGTGTCTATCAGTATTCTACCTTGATCTTTAGGTGTTTTTTGGAAAATATCAATGAAAGATATATTTAATCTTAAAATGTCTTTTGGATAATTTATTTTTGCTTTAAATATGACATGTTTTTTTAAAAAAAATTTAAATAGCAAACAATAAGGACTTCCTTAGATTCCCCCCCCACCATAGTTTTTTGGTTCAAGGTTTAGAGGCCTAAAACCCAAAAAAGGTAAAATACAAACACCCACACAGACCCCACTGTGCGTGTGTGTGTGTGGAGGGCTTACCAGTCTTTCTCAATTTTCTGGCTGCTGTTTGTGAAATGCCTTACTGAGCAGACTGCAATGGAACGTTGTTGCTTCTCAATAAGAAAGCTAGCCTGAATCTTATTTTTTAACCTGAAGGTAGTATCAGGCTACAGGGAAGAAAGGTTGAGATGAGACTTCCTCCCCCTGTCTTCTCAGGACCATAGTCTCTTTTCAGCAGGTGAAATGGAAAGGCAGAGCTTTGAGGGAGGAGAGAAGGCGATTTTCTTTCATCAGTCCCACAGTTAAAGAAAAACATCTACTAGTTTTAATCATTGTTTTGAAACTTGTTGTAAGAATAGAATTGTGTATGTAAGAGTATATGAGGTAGCTATGCAGTTGTTTAGGGCTGTGAATCCATCAGCAATGAGCAGTTTTGTGTGGTCTTGTAATCTTTTTTCTTCTATTGTTTTGAAACAGTACTGTAGTTAGGTTAAATTGGTAGGTTGTTGCCACCATGTGGCCATAATGTCATGTAAAATTCAAGAGCAGAATTATTATTTGTACAGCCAAAAATACATTGAAAAACTTTGTGTTATGTTTTAGGGACTGCCTAATGAACGGTGGCGAGTAACTTTTATTAATGAACATTACGGACTGTGTGACACATATCCATCGCTTTTAGTAGTGCCATATAATGCAACAGATGATGATCTCAAGAAAGTTGCTTCCTTTAGGTCCCGAAATAGGATCCCGGTGAGTATTATGTGATGAAAGTTACCTTACAGTGTAGCTAGTTTTAAGTATGCATCCAAACAACTTTTTGCTGAACACAACACAGAGGATGCTTTTTTTGGAAATGGTTACAGCAAAATAGTTTTGATTGGCTGGTAGTTTTTACTGCTTGAAACTAGTGTATTGGCCAAGCCACATTCCTGTTTTTCCTCCCCACAACAATCACCCGTTCCAACTTTGTTGGTTTTAACTTGACTTTTCTGGTAACAATTGCCAGCATTGCAGATTCCCTTAATGAAGTATGAGCCTTGGGCTGTCATCTGTACTAGTTTGTTGACTGTTGTTGGATGCACATAAAAAGGGATAGCAAATGTTATTCTCCTGTAAGCAAACCCCATGGCATTTAAACATAGTTCCAATGGTCAGTCCTAAAATAAGACTTCGTGCACAGTCTGCAGTGAATTCTTGGGGCTTTTAGTCCTTTAAGTTGGGCTCTGGAATTTAAGATAAACCCGTTTGACTTTTTGAGTATATTTCTGTAAGTAAAATTCTTTCATGTAAGAGAGTTTTTATGAATCAGCTCTTTACAGCACTATAGAAAATATTAATTTCTATCACAATACAATCTGTTTTAACTAGTATTTCAATTTGGCAAACTCGGAAGAGGTGCTAGGTTCTTAGCCAGTATCAGAAATCTGCCTTGAATCTCAGTTAATTTCCAATAGATGTGAAACTTAGTATGATAAATATTTATTAGATATGGTATTTACTGACAGGCTAGGCCTATAATTATAAATTTACTATATACACACACATATATGTATATGCACAATATGTAACATATATAAAATATGTATATTAAATATATAGTGTGTGCATATAGTTCTTATAACCTAGCTGTATCTTCTCTGTCATCTCAAAATTCATGCCAGGGTTTTTGTATGCCTGTACAGTGAGAGTCATTTCCTTGGTAATAGTAATTTCATTCTCGTCAGGAAATAACCAATCATACTCACCCGCACACAAACTGGCAGGTCTCGTTTCCAGATATACAACTAAGGGTTGTATTTCAGGAGTGAATACTTTCTGAGGACTTTTTTTTTTTTTTAACTCTGATGTTCTTTCACTCTGTAACCCACAATTTTCAGACTGAGTGAGAATACTGTTTCTTAATATTCTTCAACGATGAAGTTGGAGTTTTTGCCTGCTTCTTGGGGTGCTTATCTTTAATCTCTTGCACTGCAGTCTGTTCCCTGGGCAGCTCACTCTCTCTTGTTTGTGGCAAGTCCCCTCTGGCTCAAAAGAACAACAAAGGCAGCATGCACTCTGCTCCAGTGCCTCCCCTTTGTAAAGGGGGCTGAGGAACAAAATGTACTTTAAAGAGAAGGGGAAATATTCAAGATACTGCCGAAAGGTTCAACTTTCCTTCCTTAACCAAAAAAAGGGAAAAGTTGTTCCTGTAGAATTGGAGCATCTTAGTCACCGTTTCTACAATGAGTTCATTCATCTGAATTGTTTCTTGGTTTCAGCAGGCATTGCTATGTCTGTTTCCAGTTTGCTTTTCAGAATTATTTGTGCAATCTAAGACTTGCAGGAAAATACTAAAATACACTGGATTATATAGGTAAGTATAATTTCAATAAGAGTTAAATATGTAAGAGAATGAACTTTTAAAAAGATTATTATTATTAAATTTTATGAGACTGAAGTGGAAGCACTGGGGATCTTCAAAAGATAATCTGGGGATTATCTTAATAAAGTAAGAAGTGTTAATTTTCATATTATCTATTTTTAAAGAATGTAACTTTAAAATTTAAGTTATGATTTTTTAATAAAATGTATTTCTTCTAATGTGTTTTTGACATGTGACTAGGTTCTGTCATGGATTCATCCAGAGACTCAAGCTGTTATTATGCGCTGCAGTCAACCCCTTGTTGGAATGAGTGGCAAGAGGAATAAAGATGATGAAAGATATCTTGATATCATCAGGGAGGCTAACGGGCAAATCTCAAAACTGACCATCTGTGATGCTAGGCCCAACGTCAATGCAGTCGCGAACAAGGTAAACAGATGCTTAATAGTCTTATTTGTGAAGGGGGGTGGGGAGGAGACTTATTTTGAAGTTTTCTGTGAGGAGGTTTTTGGGAACAGTAATAATCTTAATATAGATAAATTTACATAATCAAATACTGAGGCTCAAGGCCACGAAAGGACATGAGTGCCTAAAGTAGGTCATAAGCAGAGTTTCAGGACCATATGTGGATTTCCAGACATGCTTTACCCTGTCTGTAGTCAGTCAAGCACAGATCTTAGCGTGGGACTGAAATCAGATATGCCTACACTTTGCATTGTGAGGTAGATGTAGGCTGAGCTGTAGAGTATGTCCTCTGCTGGAATGACATGCCACCTCTATGCAAGCCACAACTCTGCTTCATATCCTCTGGGAAAATTCTATCCTGGAAAGGCTGTGTGCATAAAGCCAAGCCCACTGATAGGCATCCTTTGTTTGGTTCTTCCTAACCATTACATGAACCGCTTCAGACCTATCTAGGCATCCAGCAAATAAAGAGAAAGTGATGAATAAGTTTAATTTGGGGGTTTGCACGCGAAACAGCAGCATGGGTATGATATTGGATACTTAGATACCTGTTCTTCCCTAGGTGCCTGTAGTTGGCAAGTGCAGTAACAGAAGTAGTGTTTCCATCTGATAAAGTGACCGTTTCTTTGCTATCTGCAATCAAAGCCTAAATGGGATCAGAATCATAGAACAGCCTGGGTTGGAAGGGACCTCGAAAGATCATCTGGTCCAACCTTTCAAGAAGAAAAGGTGTCCCTGTGCCTTGATTTCCCCTCTGCACCCCTCCCCAGCTCTGGTGAGGACCAGGTTGTTCAGGCGTACTCAGATAATGCCCATCACAGTGTGTCAGCGTTATATTTGGCATAGAGCACAGCAGACGTGGATGTGCTCCATGTTTGTGTGAAAAGCCTAGTTAGGGAGAGGCGGTGAAGGACACAAGTTTAATGCTTTCTTCATATGAGGCTGTACCAACTTCATTCCCTCTATGTCTAAGATAGTCCCTTACCCACTGAATTTCAAGCACAAATGAAGTGGACATGCTCTTTAGTGCTTACTAGTGAAGTTGTGTGTCTGCACAGCAAAGAGAGAGAGATGAGCTCAAGAGGATTTGAGATCTTAGTGAAACGATGAGTGTGCTTATCTGGGAGAGAAGGAATTCTAGCTTCTGAATAGTTTTTTGGCACAAAATGAACACTAATTTAGTGGAATGAGTCCTCCTCAATGTTTGTGCTGAAAGGAGTATGAAATGGAAAAACTTGTTTGCCTCTAGAAGGTTTATATGTAACAAACATTAAGTTGCTTCAGAATTCAAGAGGGACAATAATGTTAGTGTTTTGCTCTGTGCAACTTAAACGCATGCGTCTGTACCTTTACAGCCCTCTTCTCTATAATAGAGAATATAATTTATTAAGCAAGGAATAAGGCTTTTTTTTTTGTATAGCACACATTCTTTCAGAGACTCTATCCTAGGGGTTGTTTGGCTAGGTTTTCATCTGATGGTTTGTGTTTTGAGGATCTGCCTCAATTGCTTGCATTTTACTCTACAAATTGCATTATCCTCTACACACTGAATTTTTATGGATGAACAAAACATGTAATCCTTCTATTTGCCTTGTGGAAGGAATGTCAAGTCTTACATTAACTTAAATTTTTCCCCAGTTCTTGGACAAACTCAAATTCTTACCCCATTTGTTTCAAAGATGTATTATGGCCAAACTTTATACACACATACTTACTGAAGCGTGAAGCACAGTTTTCAGCTTTTTAAAATGGTCTATGTATTTCACCCATGTGTTTTAATTAACTCCTGATATGTCTAAATACGAAATACTCAATCATAGCAGTAAAAGCAGTAGGGTGCATTTCTGGGTCTGAGGGACAACGACATACAGAGTGGAAGCCAGTGTTGATCAGCACTGAAAAAGGTTTTCTTGAACAGCGGTGAAGATTAGTATAAGCAAAATTATTCCTGCGTTCTTTGTACATGGTCAAGACCATGCAGTCATTAGGAGTTGCAGCAGGACTTCATAATACTCAAAGGAAGAAGAAAAATACAATCGTTACTACTTCTAGTGCAGAGCCTGGTGGCTCTGAGAATAGCCTCACATCTGAGGAAGGAGATGGAGAGCACAGAATAGAGATACTGTGCTACTATACAGAAATGTAGGTGGTACTAACGGGGAAAGGCTATATTGTACTTTAGGTTGTTGTCTGATGTGTAGTTGGTGGCTGTAATGGCTTACAAAGGCAAAATTTATTTATCACAGTTCATGGCATGGCATGTTTTTGCTGTCTGCAGGAAATGCTGCGATTTTGCAGCTATCTTCGGCAAACCTCATCAGTTGTACTGTGTCCTAAAATGTGTGTGGTTTTTCCACTTCCTTTTGTGAGAAGGCACATGCCCTGCTGTGGTGGTGATTAAATGTTTTGAGAGAGCAGCAGTAGAATAGACTTTCTACTTATGTGGCTCTTCAGTTTCTTAGCAATCTAAATATATGTTTAGTCTTCAGCAATAAAATTTAATGTTAGAAAAGTTATTTTAAAGTAAACTTTAATGTTATTACCAATTTACTACTTAGAGGCAGAATCTAAGATTCTTGAACTTAATTCTTAAGTGAAACGTAGCTTATTCTTAACTGAATTCTTAAATTTAATTTTACTTGGCCAAACATTTTATCATTTTTAACTATTTCAATATCAGTTCAATTTTAGTAGTAAATAACTAGGCAGTTTAAACACAGGAAGGTGGGGTTTTTTTGTTCGGTTTTTTTCGGTAGCAAGTTTGCACGGTAAACCTGAGATTTGCTCTCTTTTGAATTAGTGGTGTAAAGAAAGACAAATCCTTTTGACTGAATTTCTTTCTCATTGGTACGGAAACAAAGACATTTTATTTCCTGGAAATGTGATCTAGTATGTTATGAGTAACTGCTGTTTTGTGTGATGTACTTAACATTTTAATTTAACCTTAATCTGTCTGGGAAGTAAGTTGATTTCTTTTGTATTCAGAATCATGAGTTTGTTTAATCCTTGGTGGGAAAAGTGAACATAAATGAAGAAAAAAATACTGACATTGTAATGTCAGTTGGTCAAGGAAAAGCTGTTTCCACCATGAATCTCAAAAGTAATGAGGAAGGTACCAATGTCTTTTTATTCTCAAAGCAGTCTGAGTCCTGACTGATGTGATGCTGGCCCACTGTCCCTTACCTGGCTACTTCAATCCTATTCGAAGGCCTCCAGGCCCAAGAGCGCGAACAACCTTTTAGTGTTAATCTAAAATAATTAGTTTTCCCTTTTAGGGTTACACCTCTGAGGTTTTGAAAAGAACTAGGCTAGCTGGAGCAATTTGAATGTCTTTCTGGCAATGTGCTATGCTTAATATACTCTGTCCTTTTGGACAAAGGAAAGCCCCCAAGTATTCTTCTCCAGCATTTGCCCTTCCAAAGCTCGTATCTGAGACTGATGTTTTAAACAAGCAACTGAAATTATATATTGCCCAACTACAAAATAAAGTATAAATAAAATTCAGTCCCTTCTGGCTCTGTTGAAAAGCTACTACAACAGTCTATTTATGACTAATTTTGGATCTTTTGTTTGTAGGCAACTGGGGGAGGATATGAAGGTGAAGATGCATATCCCAATGCAGAGCTTTTCTTCTTGGACATTCATAATATTCATGTCATGCGAGAATCTTTGAAGAAGTTGAAGGACATTGTTTATCCTAACGTGGAAGAATCACACTGGTTGTCGAGTCTGGAATCAACCCATTGGTTAGAACATATAAAGGTAACTTTTTGCTGTTTGTTTGAAATATAACGTTTGTCCAAATCTGTCATATCAGACTTGCTTTCTTTGCTAGACTTTGGGATAGTCCTGGTATGGAACAGATCAAACTACTTGGACTGCAAAAACAGCATCACTGAGTGTGGCTAGTCTTAGGGTGTGTTATGAGATATCATTACTAAGCAACAGTAGGTGAAATTCAACGTTTATTGTCTGGCTCAAGTCAAATGTCAGTCTTTGATAGAGGATTAATTGTTAATCTGATCGCCTTTACATGTGTGAGAATTGATGTATTTTGGTTTCTAGCAATACAGGACTACAGATAACTGTCATTGTGAAGAGTTAGTAATTACTTTAGTTGTCAGTATGTATGTGACTTTATTTTGTCAATAATGGTTTTGTAAATAAATCTTGTAAATTTATTTGTAAATTTTGTAACTTTCATCTTGTAGCACAAATAAAATACTTAAACTGGTAATTTACCAGTGTTCTTAGTTGAACTATTTGACCTCTGAACCTTTTGCCTCAAGTACAGCTGTGCAAAAGTATTTAGAGTATTATGTAATGAATCCTACTTAATAAAATTTTCATTTTAAGTTAATATTTGGAACATAGGCATATTAGAAGGGTGTAAGTTCCTTTTTCCAACAACTGAGATATTTCACTAATTTAGTTCAAAGAAAGGAGACAAATGAAATACAGAATTTTTAGAGAGTATATCCTATGGTAAATCCTGTCTTTCTTTAAAAAAGAAGCTTGTGTTCTTTGGTTTATCAAGGTTACTGTTTTCTGCCCCATGTTTTAAGAATTTGCTGTGAGATGAATTAGATCTTACTAAGGGATTAGGGAATCAATCTCTTTCTCTATTTTTATACAAGAAATTTACTTGGTCTCCTAGAAAATTCTTTTCCAATTAACTACACCATGCTCTTTAGGTCTTTTAATGGAAACAGTGTCAATTTAGATACTGTGTAGATACAAAGAAGTCAATTTATTTTTGTTAGAATGGTAACACTAATCTGTTCCTCTTTGCTAGCTTGTCTTGACAGGAGCTATTCAAGTGGCAGACAAGGTATCCTCAGGAAGGAGCTCTGTGTTGGTTCACTGCAGTGATGGCTGGGACCGGACGGCACAGCTAACATCGCTGGCCATGTTGATGCTAGACAGCTACTACAGAACAATTGAAGGCTTTGAAGTGCTGGTGCAAAAAGAGTGGATAAGCTTTGGACACAAATTTGCATCGGTAAGAATTAGAAGATAATTGCAAGGACCATGCAACATTAACATTCTAAAAAGTTTTTAATTTTAAACTACTCGTTGTGTCAAGGTTTGATAATTCTTTTCATTATTTTGGAATTCTGATTTAAAACATTTCTGGGTAAATCTGAGCAGAGCTTTTGGTTTTGGACCTGTTTGGTTAATATATTTTTGCTGTTCTTTCTCTGAGAACTCATATTTTGTCCTTTACACCCTTTTAAAAACACAGAATTGCTAGGGTTACTGTGATTATTGAGCAAGGAAAATGAGAAGGCAGGAAAATTATGTTCTCCCAAACTTTTCAGAAGAAGATCAAGTAAGGTTGGGGCTTCTCCCTCACCCTCTCTTTGGACTATTTTGAATGTCATGAGAGGCAGATGAATGAGTCTGGCCAATGTCTTTTAAGTGATGTTTTGAATGCTTCTTCCTAAATGTTCTAAACTTGTCATAATAGCTCTCAAGGGGCTGTCACTGGTAATGCTGGTTCTAGTTCTGTTCAGCTGTCTTCTGGATGCTTAGAACATTAAGTAGAAATTGTCTATAGCAAGTCCTTAATATCCTACCCGTGTATAATGCAAAGTCAAGGGTGTTTGTGTTAGGAAACTTTTCAGAGTCTTAGTGGAACTTCTTTTAAATTTGGCAGCTAACCATTTAACTAGGAAATCTATATGAGGAATGTGGAGAAGCAGAATAGGTTGCCAGGGAGAGTGTGCTGGGATATGTAAACATAAAAACATAAGTTGGGAGCTTTATAACAATGTTACTTGTTGATTCTGAACCTTGTAATTCACAGTAAGAAGTTTCCACACCTTCAGTAGAAGTTATTTGCACAGACAGTTTGTCCTAGTGGAATATTCTAAAGATATTACTTAATACTGCTAAAATTGGGAAAATGGGCAATCTGGAAAAATCAAGAAATAGAAAAAAATACCTATGTGTGTATTTCATGCCCATTTTACATTTGCAAGAGTGTCTCAGTCATTTGGAAATTCATGTATAGCTACTCAGCATGAATCACTTCACCATTTAAGTGAGCTTGTAGGCTGCGGCAGTCTTTGATCTGACATTCTAAAGGTGCTTTGAGGCTTAGGAGATTTGCATTTTGATTGTTGGGAGTGTTATTTGCTGTAGTCCAGTTTTTTGTGTACTTACCTGAAGTCTTCTAGTAGTGATGTGTTATATAAACCTTTGAAGTATTCTGTCTTGGTACAGCCATAGGAAAACACTGGCTTGCCTTTTTATTCTCCTATTTTATTTTGTATTTTTAAAAAAACGTTATAGTCATGATGCAGATAAAATTAGATTGTATAACTAAGAGACTTGTAGCCTAGCACATGTGTTATGGTTTAACACAAAGCTGAAAAAGAGAGATCTGTGTGTCCTTCACCATTATGAATAAATTCAAATAATCTATGATTCTTTTTATTAAACCATTAATTTTAGTTTGAGTAATCAAAGGAATTTGTTCTCTACCAAGAGATAATGTTTTTTTCCTATCAGTGAGGTAGGACTTTTACACCCTTTCCAGATAACTAGCTCAAGTCCACTGGTTCATCTCTGACAATGTAGCAGAATAAGGGTGATTTAAATAGCTTGCTTTTGCTTAAACTACTATTTTGTTTTCCCAACCTGCTCACTCAAGTAGTAATCTTTGGAAATGGTTGAAGCCACTCTTCTTTAGCCATCTGCTGTTTTCTGAGAGTACTGTATATTTTTATTTGACGGGTTGTTTAGTTTATAGTGAAGGTAGTCCTTTTCTGGAGTGTTCTATAGAATAAAAACTGATAATGCAAGCAGAAGATATTTTGATCATACATGCTCTGTTTTAGTTTGGTAATTATTTGATAGAACTGTGAGTTTTAATAGTGAGGACTAGGCACTTCAGTGCGGTTAGCATTTCCTGAACCTCATCTCTGAAACTATTGTTGTAATGCCTTCCCTCAAGTGGGGAGTTGGAGAAGAGTAGGGTGTTTCTTTTACCGTCTGGTTAGAGCAAGCTTCATGTCTTCATGTTAGCAGGGTTGCAATTTGGATGTTTTAATAACACATAACTAAATAGTAGACTACTTAATAGCTCCTCTCTGTATTTTCTCTCTAATGAAGTGCACAGTAAGTTTCCTTGTTGGAAAGGAATTCCCTACCCCAGCTTTTCTATGTATAGTGAACTTAGTGCAATATCCAGATGATACAATCGCTTGCTATGTGGAATGTTGTTCTAATAATGCATTCTAATATAAGAAATATGAGACATAGACATAATTATAGGTGGAAAATACTCAGACATCCAAAAACTGCTAACCCTAGTGAAAGTGAAAGGACTTTCACTCCTTACTGAACACATATATGACTCTGTTAACAGACACCGTGTATTTTAAACCATGAAACTGAAGAGCAAGGAGGCCAATTTGTTTGTCTTCCCTATAGTACTTTTCTAGCCATTTGCTAATGTTGACTGAGTTCAGCTACAATCCCGCATCTCCCTCTATTTCCTGCCATTCAATTCTATTATTTTAAACTATCATGCAAATCATTGTACAGGGGAGTGTGCTGGTTTTATCACTTTTCACATCCTTAAGACATTAAGCCTGCTATCTTACAGGCAGATAGGCAACATCTTAGTTCAACATACATATTCTTCTTTTGTCTCCTCCAGGCAAGTATGTTCAAGCAGAATTATGGAGTTAATAGAATTTCTTTTCTCTGAATCTCTTATCTGTTCTGAGCTATCAAATGTGAAAAGGAAGGAAACAGCTTTTACCAAACCTACTTTTTGTCTGTGGGGAGAATTCCTTTGATTGTTACTTTGGATTCCTCAGAATAAGCGACCCACCCAAACTTTAAAAACGTGCATTAATTTTCTGTCAAGAACATGAACGTTTCTTTGAGCTCACTCATGTTCGCTGTATACCTCAGGGTGAATCTTTAGGTTCAAGTGTGGAGGGGGAAGAGGAGAATCTGTGTGGATAGTTTAATGATCTAGGTTCTCCAGTGGCTTACATTACAAAAGAAGACAAAGTATATAACTTGGCTTTTGATATATCAACTTGTTACATAAATATAGTTCAAAATATATCTTGATTATTTGCAAAGTAATAAATGCTTTAACAGTTCTGCTTGTCCAATAACTAGCAGGTTTTTGTAACAGGACCAATTATCACCGAAATTTTTCTTGGACTTCTTTGGAATAGCTTTGCAGTATTTCTGTATATCTGAATCTCTCCTCCTTGGTACAGTAACTAATTTTGAAATCATAAGAACAGGTTGCTCTATTACGGAAGCATTAATATTCTAGTGCAAAATAGGAAACACTGTCTATTGGCCATAAAATAGACTGTTTCGGTTAACAGGAGGGTGTATCGCTTCATTTCAGAGAATAGGCCATGGTGATAAAAATCATGCTGATGCAGACAGATCGCCCATCTTTCTCCAGTTTATTGATTGTGTGTGGCAGATGTCTAAACAGGTATGTTATATCATTCTTCAGAAGGTAACATTGTTAAGAGATTACTGAATTAAAAACCTAGATCTTTATTTTAGAAAAAAAAAGTATTGGAAGAGGACAGCATACCCCTCTGCTGTGACACTGTAGTCAAAAAGAGTGTATTTACTTTTAAACCATACCATCTCTCTACCCTATTTCTAAAAATGGTATACAAGCTGTAGTTATGTTGCTTAATATGGCATTGGCTATGCCTGCAAGGCTGGTGTGTCCTGGATATGGGCTTCTCAGGAACATATTGGGAGCTGTGACTGCCTGCAAGGCTGGTGTGTCCTGGATATGGGCTTCTCAGAAACATACTGGGAGCTGTGACCCAGCAGAATGGTTTTACAGGAATTGCATCCAACTATCTTAATAGGGTGTGTTGTTTCATTTCACCATTTTTGTGAAGCTGTCCCTTGAACTACAGGGACAAATGTTTTGTCAAAGTTTGAAAAGGAATCTTGGGAGCTGTTGAGTGCTGCTGGTGTGTCCTGGATATGGGCTTCTCAGAAACATACTGGGAGCTGTGACCCAGCAGAATGGTTTTACAGGAATTGCATCCAACTATCTTAATAGGGTGTGTTGTTTCATTTCACCATTTTTGTGAAGCTGTCCCTTGAACTACAGGGACAAATGTTTTGTCAAAGTTTGAAAAGGAATCTTGGGAGCTGTTGAGTGCTGCGATTTAAACGTCATATTTTCAATAAGTAATGAAACAAAGCAGCAACCTTAGTCCGTTTAGGGCCAAGGCTTAGGAGCTAAACCCTTATTTTCCTGTATGGTTCTGCACTATAAAGAGTGCATTATGGATGTCTTTTTCTGTCTTGCTAGTAAAAATGTAACTGTAACCATTCTGTATTTTATTCTTCTTTTTAGAAGTTAAAGGCAGTTAGAATATTTTGAAAAGAGTTCTTTTCAGTGACTAGTTTGAGAAAGTTGACACCTCATGTCATCTGAACACTTCCTCTGCTATAAAGTATATGAAAGTATTATCTTAAAAATTATTGTAGATGTATTCAGGCTTCTAAATGCCACCTTTAGCCTCTTAACCAGGGCACGTGCATCTCTCCGTGCTTTTACAATGTGAAGAACGAATTTGTCTTTTCTGTTTTCAGTTTCCTACAGCCTTTGAATTCAATGAGCCGTTCTTGATTACAATCCTGGATCACTTGTACAGCTGCCGGTTTGGTACTTTCTTGTATAACAGCGAGTCTGTGAGAGAAAAAGAGGTTAGTCAAACCACTGATTGTTTAATTGTTTTGCTGTCTTGATTCTAGATGATTACAAGAAGTTTTGGTCATATTGTATTTGGTTATATTCCTTGTACGACAGTGGTTTTGAACTGGCTTTATTCTCGTTATAGAATAGTTGCATGGTAAATTCCTTGGTTTTGGTAGCTTAAAGACTATGCAGTCACTAAAATATTTGTCAAGCACTGGTTTTGGAATATTTCTAATACAGTAACTTACTATGCTTCTAAGTAAATCAGAAGTGTATTAATTTTAGAATGTAACCATGGTTTCTATGATGGATTTCCTGATTTTGTGCAAATATTTACTCTTATTTCAATTTCATTTTAGAAAGTGACTGAGAAAACATTATCGTTATGGTCTTTGATAAACAGTGAAAAATCTAAATACACGAATCCTTTTTATACTAAAGAGCTAAATCGAGCACTCTATCCGGTAGCCAGTATGCGTCATTTAGAGCTCTGGGTCAATTACTACATCAGGTGGAACCCAAGAATTCGGCAACAAGTAAGTAAATTCTCTATAATGTACAAAATGCTTTTAGACTTCAGAAATAGGGGTTTGTGTCAATACTGTCTTGTAGAATAGTACCTGTAATCTGTTCAGGTTTTTAATATTGTGTTTGTGAAGATGGAGAAAAAAGTGAAAATGATTATTCAGATCTTTTTTTTTTTTTTGACTAAGCTCTTCTCCAAACACTGAGCTTATTTCACTGCTTAGTATCAAGTCATCCTCAAGCTCTTTCTAGCCCCTTTTCTTGGGGACAGGGCTGGGGGAGCATTTTTTAAGGGCATTTGATGCTATTAAAGGTGAATGACAATGCTTAGAAACAGGGCTTAATGATCCCTAAAGAGTTAGGGCATTAGCATCACAAACATGCTTAGTTGCATTTGCTTTGTCTTTCTCCGTTTTCTGAGAGAGTGTATGAAGTTCTATAGATTAAGATGACCTATTCAGTCCTTCTTCAAAACTGCTATCTGTATTGATGGCTTATGGTAAGATTTTTTTTTTTAGTGTAACTTTGATGATGCAACATTGTTTACATTGTGTAACTTTTGAATGGAAGTTGTTACTGAAAATTATACAAGTGGATCAGATTGGAAGCCTAGAAAAGCTTTTGTCAAATTACACATAGTTCAGTTCTGTGCTTTTAATGTTTAATATATGGACACTCAATGTTTGTTACAATCTTGCTAGAAATCTCAGCAATGTGGCATGTAAAGATAGTGTATAGAGACTTATTTGTTCTTCTTAACAAGTTGCGGGGTTTTGAGTAGGAGAAGATAGAGGAGCAATTTCTTTGACAGAAGCAGTCTTCACAATCCAGCCCCTGGAATGAATCGGGAGTTTTCAAGCAGTGCACTTCCTTTTCTGCAGCTGGTCTCCTGTATTATTTACGACACTTCAGAGGCTGCAAGAAAGCCAGACAGTTTGCTATATTTTCTTACAAGTATGTTGCCAGTTTTAATTTGGAGTTCTAGTTTTAAAGCTTTTGTTGCTTGCTGTGAAAGATGAGGGCATTTTGCAAAAGGTGAATCCAAAGATTTATTTTAGAAAGTGAAGGATTATAGGGCATGCAAATTAGCTGTAAATCTACTTAAAAGCGCACTTTGCCATTTTTCAGGAAAGATTTTTAGCAGCAGTTCCTTATTAGAAGTGCAAACCCATGTGATAATCTGGTGCCTCATTTTCACCATTTCAATATACAAAATGCAACAATTTTTTTTTTCCTGTGCATGAAATTTACACTTCGTCTTGACTTAAGGAACTGAATAGTGGACATGTGGCCCAAACCAGTTTTTCGATGACCTTTCTTAGTGCCATTACTTGAAGCATGTTCCACATCAGACTTCAGTCTAATGAAGAGTCTGGTCTGTCACTAGCACCATCATTAACCCTACATCTCTGTCATCTTAGTAACTACATTCAGTCATTGATCCGACTTCTACAGTTGCTTCAACATTCATCGCTGTCCCCATCTGGGGTGCATAGTGAGTGGTGCACGTAAGCGTGCTGGTTCAGCTGTTTTTGAACTGGTGAGGCGTTTACATTTGCTCTTGAAACTGTACTGCTAATAGCTTTTAATTACAGGCAGTTAACTGTGAAACAGCAGCAACTTTTTGGCAGGTATATGCAGCTCAAGGTAACTTCAGGCTCTATATCTGCCTTGGACATTTGTAATACTTCTTTTCTATTTATTTCATTACTTTATCTGAAAAAGGAAGCTAAGCTTAAAATGGAAACAGTTAAGATGCTCTTTCTGTGAGTAATCTCTTGAAAGTAAGGACAGTTGATTTTAAACACATTCAAGTTTACTTACAGAATTCACTAATAAAGTTTTGCATTTATTTCACTTGTTTATTTACACAAAGTTGCAAATCTACTATTAAAAACTGAAGTAAATTTCATCAGTAGGGGAAGTTATTTAATCTGAAGACATGAATTTCATCTTAATCTGATCAGCGTAGCTAAAGTGGTCAGTCTGGCTAAACACTTTTTAGGGAAGATGATGGGACATCTGTTCTCTGGAATCTAAAACCTTTTAATAAGTCAAGAAGAGAAAAGCTTCTGACAAGGTATTCACACCTATCTTCCACACAATATTAGACAATAAGAAAGTAAAATCCATATGCTCCAGGAAGTGCTGGCTGATTTTACTGAGGTAGGAAAAACTGTTTTGTGTAAAGATTTTCTTTGGATGAGAACTACTGGAAGACAGAGGGCTCTTGAATTATTGAAAGAAATATTTCTGTTTAGCTACAACTTGTTCCATATGTTGGAAACTACAAATACTGAGTAATGCCAGAAAAACACAAATACCACAGCACAACTGTGTAGAAGTAGTTGGACTGAAGTGATAAGACTAATATAGATCTCTTTCTAGCAGCCAAATCCAGTGGAGCAGCGTTACATGGAGCTCCTTGCGTTACGTGATGATTATATAAGGAGACTTGAAGAACTACAGATCACAAATAATTCTAAGATATCCAATTCATCAGCCTCATCAGCATCTCCCTCACAAATGATGTCCCAAGTACAAACACATTTTTGAAGAAAATGTTGGCTTCGTTCTATACTGTAATAGCAAGTGGTGCTTAACATAGATCTATAGCATACAGAGGAATATTTTAATGCCTTACATTAGACTGTCCTAACACAAATTATTTTAGACTGTCTTCATTTGAGGAGGACTTCAAAACCAACAAAACCAACTCTTCAATTATGTGCCTTTCAGAGCCTGTGGACTGAGAACGTTATTAATCAACTTCTAGATATGGAGGGCTTTAAGAGTTATTTTAGAAAGTCTGGTACAATTGAAATTAAATTGATTTATTGTTTTCATAAGAATGCTTTAATTTATTACACTTAGGTCATGTTCCTGTAAGGAAATTCATGCTCAGTCTTACATGTCATGAATAAACACATTAATGGCAATAGGAATATTCACGTTGTGTAAAATTAGGTATGTGTGTATTCCTGTTAGGAATACGTTTGTGGAGTTCATGAGATAAAAATAAATTCTATTGTAAGATTTCAGAGAGAAGTGTTGAAATTTTCTGGTTACCTGAGAATTCCAGATTTTCCTTTTGGGAAAGAAACAAAAATATGGAAGGCATTTTTCACTGATATGCTTCTAATTAAAAAGTTCAAATAGCTCAGTAGATATCAAAATAAAAGAAAAATCTATTTTTTTTTTTTTGTAAATTGATTGTTTTTTTTTTTTTTTTAAACAAATGACAATTGTACTGGATTCTGAGAAGTCCTGTTTTGGCTAACTGTTCAGCACTGAAGTATGTTACAAATTATCACTGTGGCAGTATTGGCTCTTTGGATTAATACAGAATAAAATGGTTCTAAAGAAGGTTTAGATAGTTAAAAACAGACCCACAGAGACATTGCTTAAATATCCAGCAATAGCCATAGTATTAAAACTTGCATTTTGTCCTGTAAAAGTAAATGTGCCTGTTTAAAGGAGCTTTTATACCAAAGTAGGCAAAAGTTTTCAGTTACAAATACTGTTGAAAACTTGTACATTTATAGCTTAGTGTTTAATTTAACTTTTGTTCAACAAATTTATTCTTAAGTGTTTAAGGGACTTCAGTATACAAGATTTGCATATAGTGTGTGCACTTACATTGAACCTTCCAGTGAATTCTAGTTTCAAGCCTTCATTTCAGAGGCTTCTGGTAAACCTTTAATTTGTTTTCAGGTATTTTTAAAATAGATGCAAGCATTTCTTATGACAGCACAAACCGTGCTACTTGATATTTAATTAAAATTTTGCATATTCTCAGAAGTTTAATGATATTCAGGCAATCCAGGAAATATTGCAATTCAGAATTTGTAGAGGACTCTATCTAATATTGTTATTTTAAAGGAGATATTTTGATGCTTGAGGCTTCTGTCATGTAAATTATTGTACATGTGGTGAGTTTTGATCTGCAAGATATAATAGGATTATATATAAATTAAGTTTTGTGTAAGTAATATAATATAGTTTATTAGAAATTCTGCAAGTTTGTAAAGTGTAAATATTTTGCATATGAAAACTGAATTTAAAGCTATAGTTCCATAAAATAAGTCAAAGTTTAGAGGACATCTGGATATTTTTAGAACAGTATTTTTTCAAAGGAATAAAAGTATACAGCCTCTTGATTTAATTCAGTATATACACTGAATTGCACTATTTTTTTCAGGGAAGCTCAGAGCATATGGCATGTGTGTTCTAAATACGCGATTTATATGACTTATTATTGTCCTCTAAAGTTCATTCTCCCGTCAATGTTCTTCAGTATATGTTTCCAAAATAGCAACATTGTCCCAAAATCTTGACTTCTTTACGTAAATAAGATGCATTACATCAGATAAATGAAGAAGGATACTCGATTGTTCATGATATATTTACATTTTGAAAGCTATGCATATTCTGGTATATTTGCCTTCTCCTTACTTGTGGTTTATAAAAAAAGCTATTTTTTATTAGAATATTTAAAGTGTCTGTATTTGAATTGAACGTATTGGTGACATCTCTGAGCAGTGTGGAGAAGTTCAGAAAATCTAATAGTTTTTACTGTGTAAACACTACATGATAACCTACTGCTTTTGGGAAAGTGTAATATAATGGAAAGGATCTTTTTGCACTTACTTCATTACATATATACCATTCTTCATATTACTGGTTCAGTCGAATTTCAGTCTTTGAAGCGCTCTGACATAGCTCTGTGCGGGCTTGGATTTTTTTTCAAGTCAACAGATAAGATACTTGTTCTAATTCTATTTTTACATGGTAATATTAGGTGAACATAGGGGTGGTTTTAATCCAATACTTTCTGGAAAATACTACTTTAAAGTTGTGAATGTAGGCATACAAGCTGATCAACGTTAACACAAAACTTTTCTCCTTTCCACTTAAATGCGTGATCTGGGCTGTTGTTCTGCGATGCACTGCACGCACCCAGGCTGTGCCCCTGCGGCACCCAGTCCCCTGTGCACCGCTGCGGGTGCAGGAGCTGGCCCGTTAACCGCCGTCGGTTCACTGTTGTAGCTGACACAGCCGAGGACAAACCTGGGGAAGGTTTTGAGGTGGTGAATGAGAGTGTTCCAGGCGTTGAGTGCCCTTTCCAGGAGGGGTAAAAAAGCAGGGCTGGGATGTGAACATCAACAGCTGTAAATGCCCGATATCCAATACGAAATACCCATCTCGGAACGCTGTTTTAGTTTTTTCCTCTCTGTATTCTTACTTCCATGGACCCGAAAAGATAACCTAGTTTTTGTGCTGGGCTTCAGTTACTTATTTAGAAAGTTTATTTGTCGAATGCCTTCTTTATTTGCTTATGCCTTATCCACCCCAGCATCACTGTTATGGGTATACCCTAGAAATGATTTGTGTACTACCTCCTTTTGACGTATTTTTAAACTCTGCCTTGAGTTCAGTTTTTTGTCTCACAGTGAGCATTTTGTGTCATGCTTGAGAAAACAGGTTTTTGTAACTGACCAGGACTCCTCCTGTGCTCCGTGCTGCTCCTTGAACCTCAGTGCCGGCAGCACTGCGCTGGAGCTGGGCGTTATTTGTCAAGCGACTTTGGGGCGGGGGGAGAGCTTAACATCCGTCTGCCATGTACGTGTGTGAAGGGGAAAAAAATAAAGATGTCAGTTTTAATCCCTGTGACAGACGTGTTAATGGAACACTGAGAGCGTGCGCCTACTTCCGTGACGGCTGACGGCGGTCCCTCTCTCCCAGCAGCGCGGCTGCCTAGCGCCCAGGGGGCTGGGGGGGGTACGGCCTGGGGGGGTGCCCGCCGGCCCTGCCCTCCCCTC